AGCTGTACTGCCCCCCTACAATCTGTGATGAATGCTATTGCCAGGCTGATCTTTCTCTCCTGTCGCTCTTCTCACACCTTACCCCTTTGTCGATCCTTACACTGGCTTCTTGTACCCTACAGGTGTCAATTTAAAATACTAACCCTTACCTATAAAGCTCTAACCAACTCTAGCCCCTCTTACATTTCCTCACTGATTCATAGATATGCCCCCTCTCGGTCTCTCCACGCCAGGGCCGGACTGGGAATTAAAAGCAGCCCTGGAAAAAAAATATTTACCAGCCCCATAATGCGTTGCGCCAGCATAGTGTGCAGATACAGAGTTAGAACAGATAACTTAAAATTAAAAAGTACTTCAACGTAAAAAGCGCACTCATAGGCTTCAAAAGAAACAACAGTGCAGATTTTTTTTAAGCAGACGTGCCTTTGCATGTAATCAATGTTCCAGTCCAACAACCTTGACATATTAAGGAAAGCTTGTTAATGGGACTGAAATGGTGAATGTATGTAGGGCACAACTGTAAAAAAAATGTTTATTTTGAAGTCCTGTGGGTGTGCTCTTCACTTTAAATATGTTATTGTGCTGGAGTATGCACCTAGCAACAAGACTGGGCCAATATCTGCTCATTACATATGGTACATATTAATGAAATTTCTCTGTGTATTATGCATATATAAATGTACATTAATATGTGTAAATATAATAGATATATCTATCTATATATATATATATATATAGATAGATATAAATATATGTCTATATATATATATATATATATAACTAATATACACATTAATATACATGTCATATATCAGTGACAGATCCAGAGCCTGAGCCCGGGAGGGGCACTTGTAGATTATTTAAAGAAATATTCCATGCACGATAACCACTACTCCTCTGTGTAGTGGTTATGGTGCCAGGAGTGTCGGCACCCCCTCCCAGAGTAAGTAGTCAAACCGTTTAAGAACAGTTTGACAACTTACCTGCAGTCTGCTGGGATATGGGGCTGTAGTAGGGTATAGGAGCAGTGGTGCAATGTGTGAGGGGTGCAATGTGTGTGTGAAAGGTTCAGTGTGTGGGTGTGGGGGGCAGTGTGTGAATGTGTATGGTGTGTGTGTGTGGGGGCAGTGTGTGAATGTGTATGGTGTGTTTGTGGGGGCAGTGTGTGAATGTGTCAATGTCTCCCCTCTCCTTCCCAGTCTCTCTCTTCCCCCTCTGCCTCTTTCTTCCCCTCCCCTTGTGTGTCTCTCTCATTTCTCCCTCTTTGTCTCTCTCTTCCCCCTCTGCCTCTTTCACCCCTTTTCCCTGTGTCTCTCCCTCCTCCCCATCTCTCTCCCTCTTTCACCCCCTTTCCCTGTGTCTCTCCCTCCTCCCTTTCCCTGTGTCTCTCCCTCCTCCCCATCTCTCTCCCTCCTCCCTTTCCCTGTGTCTCTCCCTCCAACCCATCTCTCCCCCCTTCCCTGTGTCTCTCCCCTTTCCCCATCTCTCTTCTTTCCCCCTTTCCCTGTGTCTCTCTTCCTCCAACCCATCTCTCCCCCCCTTTCCCTGTGTCTCTCTCCCTCCAACCCATCTCTCCCCCCCTTTCCCTGTATCTCTCCTCTCCCCATCTCTCTCCCTCCTCCCTTTCCCTCTCCCTCCCCCATCTCTCTCCCTCCCCCCTTTCCCTGTGTCTCTCCCCTCTCCCCATCTCTCTCCCTCCCGCAAGGGAGCATGGTAGACAGGCTCCTCCTCCTTCAGCCATCAGCAACAACGGTGACTGGAGTGCCGCCGGACCGGTGAAGCTGCCGCCCGGCGGCTCCAGTCTGGAACGCGGCCGGCCCCCTCTCAGTGTGCCACCTATGTGGCAGCGCAGCCCCCAGGTGCCTGGTAATTTCCCGGTATCCCGGTGGGCCAGTCCGGCCTGCTCCACGCTACTCGTGACTGATATAGTTCCAATGTGATCTTTGGTGTATTCAAAGGAGCCAACATTTGTTATTTCAAGTGCACTTGGAGGAGCGTGAATTAGACACCAGACACCTGGTATTCAGAATAAGCCTCTGACCTTTATTTTGTCTGTTGTGTTTTTATACATTAAAAAGTAAGTGCTTAAATACTCATAGAACAGTAGTAGGAAGGGAGTGAAAGGGTGAAAGGAGTACAGATAAGACAAAGGGATAAACATCATGTACATTTAACAGATAAGTTCAGAGAAAGAGAAAGAACAGACTGATTTAGGAGAGACAGCTCAAGTGGGGGCTATCTGCTCCCCGAACTAGACATATATGGTTTTAAGTGTCGTTTTAAGCATTAAGCATTTCCTGAGTCCAAGCTAGCCAATTTTAATATAGGATATCTAAAATGACACCTATAAGCTTGATACATACAAAATATATGATACACCTAGATAAAAACAGAAAGAAAAAAGGAGACAATCATAGGGAAACACGGTTAAGCAGAGTGGTCCTTACTAAAATATTGCACTCACAAAATGACGAAGAGATTCAATCCCATCAAGGTTTCTTTAAATCTTGTAAAGGAATTCCTTGTTCCTCAAGTATACATGTAAAAAGAAAAACTGAACATAGTATAGAATTGTTGATATTATAAAAAGCACAATTTATTGAAAACACAAGAAGTGAGAAATAAAAATGCCCATCAAATATTTGGTCCCTCTTTCCAAGATGATGAATGGAAACAACAGGTTACAGGGATTGCAGGCAGCAGTATAAACAGCTCTACGCGTTTCGTCTAAACAATAGACTTCATCAGGAGAAATTCAGTAAAAACAATATTGCAATCAAATAAATAACAATAAAATTCACATGTGTTCAGTCTTCTTTAAAATGTCCCTCTCACCGGGTTCAGCTTCTCATCAGCAAATTTGCACGCTTGGTGTCACCTGTTCCGTGTGGTCTAAATTCTAGGTCCATATAAGGACTTCCGCCGAGCCTCTGTGGAACGCATATGCATTCCACCAGTCTGGAAAACAGAAACTCCTTCTTCCTCCGTCATCTCTTAGTGGCTGGAACGCATATGCGTTCCACCTAACCGTCTCATAGTCCCAGAGGGGATCAGTCAGTAAAAAGAAAAATGGAAGAGAAGAATAGATTGAAAATACAAACATATATCAAATACATAGAATAAAAATATAAATATTATTAACTCACACCATAATCTAACTTGATATACAGAACCATATACATTCAGTAGATGGAACATATTAATAAATATCACGCTCCACTAGCGCCAAAAGGTGAATAAATAAAGGATACAAAGTGTGGAATAACATCAATACATTAAGTCTTTAAAGGGAACGATCCTTGAATACATATAAATAAATGTAATATGAACAGTAAATGTATATAGTAAATAAAAAAAAAAAATAATAATAAGAAAATAATAATAAAAGATAAAAAATGATAAAGAAATAAATAAATATGAAAGGAAAAATAAATAAATAAATAAATAGGAAAATAAAAGTGAAAATAAAATTAAATATAAAAATTAAAAATAAAAATAAAAATGAAAATAATAAAAATAAAAATTAAAATAATATAATAAATAAAAATAGAATTAAATAAAAATAAATATAAAAATACAAATAAAAAATGAAAATAAATATATAATGTGTAAAAAAATGTGTAAAAAATATACATGTTGTGCCCCACATATACCATAATGCGCTTACAGCCATAATGCTGGCAAAGAATCAAGGGAGATGTAGAAAACAACATCTGGAGTGTCAAAGGTTGCCTACTCCTGCCCTAAGCAATATTTTGTGCCAAATTGATGAATAATGTAATAAATGTAAACTATAATCACTATTCTAATAATATTGCTTACAAAAAAGAGAACAAGGAACACAACGTTCCAAGTCCCTGTATAGCCGCCGCACCCACCACCTCAAAACCTCCCCAAAAGGGGGGCAGTGGCTGCAGGGGTCACGCAGAGACCAACGTACCAGTATGAGACTCCAGCTGTCTCAGAGGGGCTTAACCCCAAATATAAACACAAGAACAGAGAAATATGCAGACCGTCTGGCCCCTGACGAAGGTGCATCTCTCTGCACCGAAACGTACGTTGGGCGTTTTTTCTGCACTGGGCACTGGTGTTTGGAGCACCATGATCACCATCTAATTTAACTTTATTTTATATCGTTTTCTTCTTTTCTTTCCTATGCCTATCTAGCTAGCTTTACAGGGAGAGAGGCTTTATTAATGCTAATTATCAGTCTGTTTTTGACTGATTTTTTTACTTCTATTTTCAGTCCTTATCTCTCTCTGTTTTTCTTAATATGTTTCTAGTGTGACCAGGATACTTCCTAGGATGCATGGATTATAGAGACTTAGCTACTGTATACTCCTATCCCTATAGCAGATCACAATAAAGCTTAATTATAAGGGGGAGTGAGGTTATCTTTTTTACTACCTCTTGATCTATACTACCCTGGGCTGGCATAGGATTGTAGGTTCATTTGTATATACTTTGTTTAATTAGGGTCTCTGACCATATTATTTCTAATAGCCAGGTTCTATACTTGGAACATCGCGCTATACATAGATATATTTTTTCCAGTCAATGCAGTAAGTTTCATTCATATAATTGAGACGGTCTGCATATTTCTCTGTTCTTGTAATAATATTGCTTAACCGCAGAATAGTTACATATCAGCTACATTGGCATACATTTTATTATAAAATTCTATTTTTATTTCAGAATATTTCACTGTTTAGTGAAGAGACCCCTTAGACACGTTATCATTTCTGCCTGAATTAATTAATTATCTTTTATCATGGTCTTATTCTAAATACTATTTTCTATTGGTCTATAGCTGAAAGAAGCTGATTTGACTTAAACAATACAGTACAATAAAGCTTTTATTTTAGTGAAATAAAAAAGAATAACAGAGACCGGTTTTCCTAGCAGCCAGACATCTGTTCTACCCCAGTCCGTGTTTGCTGCAGACTAACAATGGAAGCAAACACTTTGATGCTTTTGGAGTTCGCTGTGTATTTAAGTGTGTGGACATCTTTGGAATCCGAGAACACTGTCTAGGTTGCAGTTCCATTTCTTTTCAATCGGAAGAGGTTAATTTTCAACCCAGCATGTGCTGGGGATGCAGGCATGAGTGCTTTGTGAGCACTGGGTGTGAGATGCTGTATAATTGTCAGACAGCTATACACGGTGTTATTGTAGAAATGGTTCCTGGCATCCAAAAAAAGTAATTTTATGTAGAGCATCCAAAGGGTTACATTCAATATGATCTTATTGCACCGTATCGAAATGCGGCAACATCAACTCTCTGCACACAAAAATAAAGTAAGAAAAAAAAAAAACATCAACCAAATAACCCATTCACACACTATTGGTCATATAACCAAGCCAAACAATTCCATATTCTGTTCATCATGGTTTGTATTAACAATAATAATAAAAATACCCAAATATATTAAATTCAGCCCCTGAAAGTCTGTGCTTAACAGTCACCTCTTCTGCAAGGGTGGTTCTCAGGGATCTAATGGTCATTCACATGGCAGTTACATATGTTAATTCCATCAGAATAAACTGGAGAATTGAGAATCAACAGGTTTACACAAGCACGACTGCACTTCAAAACACAGCCTGTTAACCAAGTGTAAACCTATTTGCTTTGGAGCAATGACTTTTTTTATACAGTTGACAGTTTCCTTTTCCACAAATTGTATTGTAAGATAGGGATGGTGTAAACTGCATTGGCAGAGCTTTGCAGCATGATCATCCCCCTCTATCCACATTAGAACCTGTTGAATAATCCACTGGAGGGAGGGCTTTTTTCCTTGTAAGAGTATAATGTCACTAGGACGTAAAGTGAGATGGAATTATAATAACGAGTCATATCACCTCCTTCCTCCTCCTCAATCTAACAGTGTTTCCTTCTCCCTGCTTGTTTCACTCTCTCACTCCCTCTCACTCATTCACTTTCTCTCTTTGATCTTTTTACCTTTATTCCTTCGGATCTCAGCTCTGATGATGCCCATTATGCTCTGGGCAGGATGACTAATACTACCAGCCGCTCTCTTCACTGTGGAGAACACATGGAAATAAGAGTTCTTGTGGCCACTGCATACTCCATGTTCTCCATATCTGGAACGTTGGCCAATGTCCTGGTGATTTATTTGGTTTGTTCTTTCAAGAAACTCAAAACAACTAGTAATGCTTTTATTGTTAATGGATGTGTTTCAGATCTCCTCGTCTGTGCCTTCTGGATGCCACAAGAAGCCATATTAGTTTCTACTGGTCGAGTGGAACATCCCACCTACAGGGCCTTCATGGAGGGAGTTTTTTTTCTGTGGATGACAGTCTCCCTGCTGTCCCATTCGCTTATTGCTCTAAACCGTTTTGTGCTGATCACCAAACTGCCCACTGTCTACCATACTGTGTATCAAAAGCGTAACACTGAGTGGATGATCGCTATGGTTTGGGTTCTTCCTCTTGCTTTCCTTCTTCCTTGGCTGTTTGGTCAACGACCGCATGAAATTTCTCTGCATTGTCAACAACTGCGACTTTTTGTGTTTCTGGGACAAGAAATCCCAATGGCCAGCTCTTACACGGCAATTCTTTCTGCAGTGACTATTCTTAGTCAAACTGCTATCCTCTTCCATTGCTACTTTCGAATTTTCAGGAAAGTGCAAGTCAGCTTGAAGAGGGTTAGCGTTCTCAATTTCCAGGTGGTCCACAATCTACCATGCTCATGTCCTCGCAAGGACAAACGTTTAGGCCTCTATGTACTCATTGTGTGCTGTGTCTTTTCACTAACCACAGAACCTTTTGCATGGTCCGTCCTCTATGGTCTATTCCAACCTCTGCCCCGTGGGCTGGAGACAAGTAGTTGGCTTCTGTTATGCCTTCTTTTTGTGCTAAATCCATTTATTTACACTTGGAAAAATGAGGAGTTCAGGAGGTCTTTCCGAGCAGTGGTGGGTGGAGAACTTTGGAAAAGTGCAGCTGTTAGTGTTGATCCAGTCGTGCAAACCATTTCTCAAAATGACCCCTGAGTAAAACTAATAATATGATTCCTCCGTTCTTTACCAGTCTCTGGGATAGAAACAGTGCAGGATCTCATGAGAATGTTTGACTCAGAAATCAAAGCAGATTTTCGACTCTGTGTTGCCCTCGTTCGCCTCACTTTTGTATTGATGGTTTCCATAGAAACCTTCTGCTTGCATCTCCTCTAAGCACCGTGGTCCAAGATAAATGAGCCAATGCTTCACTTCTATCAGCAACGGGACAACATGAGTGAATATTTACACCAAGATATACAATAAATTACATAAGCTGGCAGCTGAGAACATAACATGGGTATTGCAGTCTGGGAAAGAGGTAGTGTGTCATTGTAGATATGTCCACTAATGCATTCAGAAAAAAAATAATAATTTATGGGAGGTTTTTTTTAGAATAAAAATAGCCCCACCAATAATGTGTGTGAGAGAAAAGCAGAATATGGAAATAAAATATGTAGGCTATTTATAGATTGTTCTCACTTCATAGGAACAAAATATTTTGAATCATTGAAGTGAATAAATTAATAGTTGCCATCTCGTTTAACAACCTTTAATAATATTAACACCGAAGTACAGAAATAAAAAACTAATAGACCCTGTAGATAGATAGCTTGTTCAATATGTTGAATAACATGATCTGTCTCATTTTGGGGCACAATACTCATTGATGTGACTTAATATTGATGTTGCTAAAACATATTTTTCATCTGTGGTTATTCACTAAGCTTAATAGTCAGGAATTGACAAAGGACTTTTCAATTTTATTCCGAAAGAGCCCAATTGGAAAAACTAATATTTTGGACAAGAAATTAAAAATCATTGGGCAGTTCTCAATAATTCCCAGTTTAATGAATAACCTTGACCATTTATGGCTATTACTGAAAAGATGAAAATTTCTACAAGTGAATAATACAGAATTTTATATTATTATTATTATTATTATTACTACTATGGTATTTATATAGTGCCATCAAGTCCGCAGATGCTCCACATTATAGAATGTGGAGTAGATGCAAAAATTTTAAAATAGTTTGTGTATCTTTTATATATCAATGAAATGCAATCATGGTTTCATTAAAACACAATACATTTATGCATCCTCTGCAGAGAGCCAAGGTAGGTGCCAAGCCATGGGGCAACCGCATCTCGTATTAAGTCGAGTAAACCAACAAATTAAATTGGCAACACCAAGAAATATTTCCCAGTGATTTTTTTCTTCATTTTCAACTATAACAGACTGACCTGTCACAAATTGATTTCCATCTGAGTCTTATCCTGCCCTTTTGTGATGGTTGAAGAAAAAAAAAAAGGTTGAAAATTTTTATTGGTGTTTCCATATAACATTTTTGGATTAATTGGTTGAGACAAACAAAAGGCATTCCAAGTCCATTGACATAATGCCATGCCTGAGCCAATTATTTTGTTGTATTCGCCCAATTAATGAGCTCAACTTCTTCAATGTGTTACGTTTTTTTTCCCCAATGATTCTTCTTGAAAAGCGCTACCCATCTGCCATTTTTGTTAATCAATGAAGGAATTTATCATTATACATTGAGCAAGTCACAAGGTGCAATCTCTTTCTAAAAACTTTTGCGGTTATTCAGTAAACTGTGATTTATCAAGAATTGAATGTAAAATTTCATATATAAGACCATAATAGCCAAATTTGAGAAAAAAATCCAACGCACTTATGTCTCCAACTCAAATATTTTGTTCTAAATTTTCACATTTGCAAGGTCATCCACTAAACTGAAAATTAAGCAAAGTATACACTTTAGTGAATAATTCTGTAAAAACTAGTAAGGAAAATGGGAATTGTGGTGAACTAACAACAGAACTGAAAATTATAGGTCAAAAAAGAAGCTGAACTAAAAAATTTAGCTGATGAATTTGTTTAAATGTTACTAATTTGGTTTAAAATTTGTAACCCATTCTTTAATTCTCAACATATGTTGGTTTATGGAATAAATCTGTCTTTTTTGCAGCTAAATTCTCTGTACTTACAATACTCGGGTGGTTGTATTGGGAGAAAAACAAGAATTACCTGTAACAAGCTTAGTGTATCGGCAGTTTTATTTATATTCTTGTACATTTGTATTCTGCTCTGTGGTGCCTTATACTGATTTAATATGTTTTTCAAATTGTAACATTTCCCTGAGGGACCATGATATTGTCTCACTGGTCACATAATCTAAGTGCCCTTATTGTCACATTTGCAGAGGGTGATGTGTTGGATTGTGTGTGGTTTTGCATGTACAGTGTACACTTAACTTATTGACACAGGAAGGGAATAGGACCTGACTTACCCCATGTGTTAGTTAGATGGTGAATGTTTTTGGACCCATATGCCCAATATTTAGCAGAAATACAAGTAACCCGTTGATAAGTGCTTTCTCCCCTGATAAACTCTCCTTTCCCAAGTGTAATTGTCACCCACGTCATCTGCCTTATAGGAACTTGTATCAACCCTTGCTTTGATATATTCAATGGTAATGTGCACTGCCTCTATTTACTAAAATGATCAAGTACTGATGTTTACACTGAAGGCAGCCACTTAACACCACATGAGAGGTCTCTGACTACCACTGGTGGCCCCACTGTCATAGGCACGCAATCCTAGTTCTAAGAGAAACATACCTTTTTGAAGCAGAGGACATTTACATGGATGTAAACATAGCATTAAGTTTAATCTACATAAACAATTGTGGTAATTATATTTAACATTACATATTCAAGAAGTACTCTCTTTTTTTTTGAAGGGCATAGGGATGAAATCTATATTGGAGATACTAAAATCATTAGGAGAATGGTTATGGCGTTACTGAGATTTAAAGGGACACTCCAGGCACCCAGACCACTTCTGCCCATTGGAGTGGTCTGGGTGCCAACTCCCACTACCCTTAACCCTGCAAATGTCATTATTGCAGTTTTCATAAACTGCAATATTTACATTGCAGGGTTAACTCCTCCTCTAATGGCTGTCTACTAGACAGCCACTAGAGGACACTTCCTGGTTTCTAGCACAGGTTTTCTGTGCTATAGTGTCGCTGGACGTCCTCACGCTATGTGAGGACCTCCAGCGTCGCCAAAATCCCCATAGGAAAGCATTGAAAAGCATTTTCAATGCTTTCCTATGGGGAGGTCTAATGCGCGTGTGCATTAGGTCTCATTCCACTGGCGGCCGCGCATGCGCGATCGGTCTCCGCCGGCTGACGTCGGTGTGGGAGGATTGTGGGCCACCGCCTAAACCACCGCCGAGGGACATCGGCGGTGGTCTCAGGTAAGTCACTGAACGGGTTTTCACCCCTTCAGCAACATGGGATGGGGGGTGGGTGGGAGAGGGGACTTGCAGTGCCAGAAAAACTATTTGTTTTCCTGGCTCTGGAGTGTCCCTTTAACAAGATGAAAGAAGGGAACGTATTTAAAATAAAAACCAAAACAAGTCATTTGACTGTGATAGGAGGACAAACTCGTTACCTAAGCAACAAGTAACGAAGACCATAATGAATATATGGATTGGCTGCACTGCATTCCAGCCAAGTCGGAATTAGTAGGGTACACACTTAGAACATCAGAGAGACAACATTCTGAACATAATAAGGCACAACAGTAGATCAGAAGCTAGGATTTTATGAAATAAGGAAAATTCAAAACAAATTCTGTTACAATGTGTGTTTGTATTTTTTGTTAATGTGCAATAGAAATAACGACAGAATGAGGTACAACATAAGAAATGAAAGCAATGTACCTTGATTTTCTGTACTGGATGTGTCTAGCTCCATGCTATTGTTTGGAACATGTAAACAGGGAGGTTTGTGTATTGTATTTGCCAATCAATGAGCAAGCAGTGGTATCCTGTCAATTTGAAGCGTGTGCAAAGCGTTCTGTGCAACACTGGAGGTTTAAAAAGAATTCTAATGCGGGGGCAGATCAATGAAATAAAACATTCAACATGTTTTCAGTTAAGACTTAACTCTTTTCTGACTAGAAGTGCTGACTATTCTACAGTCAATCTCTTGCTATATAATTGTCATGGAATTCTGCACCAAGGAGCTATCTAGACCTTAACAAAGACAAAGGGTCTGAGAAAACCAGTCATGTATATCTGCACCCTTGAAAATGACTATACAAATTAGACAGCTGTCCGGTTTTCCCAGAACATTTCTTGATAATTCACAGTCACATACTGAGATTAGGTTACAGCCAAGTTCTCTCAGAGCATGTCATGATAATTCACAGGTACAAGGTAACCACTGAGATTATACAACTGCGATAATTCACAATCACATGATAACCAGTAAAATGAGGTAAAGGCCAGATTCTTCCAGAGCAGGCCGTTATAATTCAGTCACGGTATCCACTGAGTGAGGTAAATGTCAGGTTCATCTTGAACATGCTGTTCTAATTCACAGTCTCGCATTAGCCATTATAATCATGTTTCTTAAAGGTTCTTACGAAGCAGTCTCATGATAAAATGCAATCAAGCCAGAATCGACATCAATTTTGCATTAACCGACTCATTTCCAATTCACAATGGTACCCGTCAGTGATGCCCACTTTTGTCTTTACTCTTTGTCCTTGCCCTCAAACCCTTTTTGAACATGGTTAGACAGAACCCGTATATAAAGGGACTCATGGTAGGTAAGGTTGAACACAGGATTGCAGCATATGTTTATGTCCTCCTGTTCTACCTGTGACATGAGGCTTTATTACCCCTATCATAATTTAATTTGACACTTACAGCTTACTAGCTAACTTATGTACCAATTATTCCAAATACATAATTCTTAAAATGGATCTTCTTATGCCAGAGCCAGTCTGATCCACTGGGTTTTCCCATTTCATTTGTTTGATACCTCCCTTAAATATTTGGAGGTGGTGGCTGGCCAGAGACCTCTGCCAAATCTATCAGGTGAACTTTCACTCAATCCCAGGACTAGGTGTTTTCGCACCACTCCTGGCTTGGCAGGGTGGTGGTAATTAAGATGAATCTCTTGCTGCGAGTGCTTTACGTTTTTCAGACATTGCTAATTACTATATCCAATACATTATATAAATATCTTCATTCCCTCATTCTTAGGTATATATGGCATGAGAACAAGCCACATAAACTTTATTAGAGCCTCAGGTGGCTAAACTTTGGGGATAAGGACTGACACTCCAGGACTTCAGCTCTATATTATCAATCAAGCCACACACCCTCAGAGAGCAATGGAGTGGGCCGATCGTTGTGTTGATCTGGCTGCCAGGATGGAGACACTTCACCACCTGATATCTGCTAAGCTCCACATGTGAAGTGCTATTGCTCCCAAACTAGAGCATTCCACTTTTTTGCACTCTTTCCTGCCAGTGGTATATAACCTGGCATTCCATCTGGGTTTAGAGGCTTCTAGCTGCAGGAATCTTTTGATGAGCCAGACAACCCAAATAAGACACATGCTTGTAGATGGTAAACTTCAACCCCT